TTTGCGCTGTGGTAGCGAAGAAGGCGGTGAAGCAGTTGTCAACCGGCAGTCACCAAAGCGGTCACCACAAAAGGCAGTCGTTGCGCAAATTTAACCTGGCGTGTAACGACAAAATCGAGGTGGGCGAGTGACAAATTGGGGTTTGTGCCATTTGCTTACAAAAATTTTACGTGCCAGAATAATTTGGTGAGTACCCCTGCTTCCGTTCTGCGTGCCTATTTTTTTTTTTTTTTTTTTTTTTTTTTTTTTTTTTTTCTGCACATTATGCTGTTCGTGCGGCCCGCAATTTTCGTTCTTGGTTTTTGCAGGGCTTTCGACCTTTGCACATTTCGGGTGGGATGTAGAAGGGGATTCATTTGGTGACGTTATTAACTTTTTGAGCGGTTAAACGGTCAGGCGGTAGAATGAACAAAACATATGCATAACAAAAAAACGCTAACCCGAACGCGTCGTGTAACTGCTGCGGGGGTGAGTACCAACCTATGTGCTCACCTTTCCCTGTATGTTAGTCGATCCGTACGGTTTTACTATTCCGTCAGGGGGGGTTGGCTTCGATCAGCGAAACTGCCGCCCCGCTGTGCAACGGCGTGTGTCTCTCCTGCTGGCCTCACACACCGGGCGAGAAACCCTTTGGCCCCTTCTACGTGAAGAGAGAGGAAGGGGTCGCTACCTTGACTTACACATTCCGAAGGAGAAGCGCTGGCGGAAACAGAGTTAAGCAAGCAGGAGGCAGCAAAGCCAAAAGCGGAAAAACACACACGAACGGAACGTACAGTGTTCGTCCACATACGCACATAACAAGGTCAACACATTGGATAAACTGTGAGCGGGCAAAAATATGTGTATTCGTTTTGCCTCTCTCTTTTTTTTTTTTTTTTCCAATCTACCCTGGTTCCTCCCGTTTCTACAAATATGCTCCATGGTGACCCCCCCACCCTACACCCTTTTGCCCAATTCTGGTCTCAGCCTCACCGTGAATATACAGCCCCAGTTGGTACCTTCCAATCAGCAAAAAAAAAAAAAAAAAAACGCAATTCGTTACGCATTGCACATTGGCGGAAGGAGCTAAAACAGAAAGCCCTCCGTGCCGTCTCCTCCTCGGGCGCTACTTACAATGGCCTAGTTTGCCTTAAGTTGTGCGATTTTTTTTTTTTTTTTTTTTTTTTTTTTCCAAAGCGAACACAGGATATAAGCATCGTCGGGCCGACTGTCCCATAATATGCACACGTGTGTCAGGTTAAAATATGCTCACCTCTTTTATTCGTTTCTGTTGCTACATTCGAACCGTGTATACCTGTGCAATGATCTTGCGGCTTGCACTGGAGAGCTTGCGGTGGAGCGCTGTGCCATGAAAGCTGATTATAAGCGTTGACCGCTCCCCGTTGTCCATCGCTCGTTTTTCCAAAGCAGGACGGCCACGAGGCTCCCTCTGTTTACGGGTGTGCCAGCGCGGCTAACCCAAGAATGACCTGCGTCTCTTTCCTTAACAATTCATAATGAATGAGCTCGCTCAGCGCACCGGCATACGTCCCCCCGCTGCCTCATGCGCTGTTGCATGTGCTCCTGTTGCTGCAGCTGTTCCTCCTGTTGCTCGTGGCAACAACCACCGTGAAAGGAGCGAACCGAAACTCCGCCTGCACCCTCCCCATTACGAAGAAAAAACACCACCATGCCAAATTATTTTTCGGATGGAAAAATAATCACATGAATTTTCTAGGGAGAAAAAAAATTATCAATTACACAAGAGGATTATTTTTTATAAATGCTAATAGAAGAGGTCACTACCTTGGGGGAAGAAACAATAACAAACGTTTCATCCTGCACAGCTATAGCACGACGAGGAGGAAGATGCAGGACGAAGCTTACGTTAGTTACTTGAAGAAGTATGTTGTTGATGATAGGGAGTTGGGGCAGGCGGCTGTGGGGGACGTACACAATGGGATCAGCAGCAGCGGCGGCCACCTCCCCCCAGATGGGGCTCTTGAAATAGAAGAGCTGATAAAAAAGAGTATGAGGAAGGAAGAAGAAGAGCTGTTCGCGTTCCTTCAAAAGGTAAACGAGACATACAAGCTGCATTCCACCCTGAGGGTAGTGGGGGGATGGGTACGAGACAAATTCCTGGGCATCTCAAATGATGACATTGACATCACAGTGGATAATATGAAGGGCTCGGAATTCTGTAATTATATAAAGCAATACATACAAGAAAAAGAAAAAAAAAATTTTAATTTTGGTATTATAAAAATAAACTCAGATCAATCTAAACATTTAGAAACATCCAGTTTTCATTTGTTTAAATTTCAAGTGGACCTTGTTAATTTAAGAAATGAAAAATATACAGAGAACAGTCGCATCCCTGAAATAATTATTGGTACTCCAGAGGAAGATGCATTGAGGAGAGACTTCACTGTGAATTCACTTTTTTATAATTTGAGCAATCGTCGAGTGGAAGACTATACTGGACGGGGAATTCTGCATTTAAAAAATAAAATTATTTGTACACCACTTGACCCTTTGTCTACCTTTCTCGATGACCCTCTTCGAATAATCAGGTGCATTCGATTTTGTGGGGTTTTTAATTTCTTCGTGGAAAAATCAATCTTTGATGTTTTAAAAAATGAACAAATTATAAAAGCTTTTAAAAAGAAAATTTCCAGAAGTAGACTCTCCACTGAAATTCTGAAAATATTTTCCAAGAGGTGTGAAAATATTGTTCTGTCTTTGACCTTGTTAAATTATAGTTCCTATGCGAAAGAAATTTTTTCTTTACCAGAGAACTGCTTGGTGAAGGATGAGGAGGTGTTTGAAAAGCCTAGGCGGAAGGGTGACAAGGGGAACAAGAAGGGAGCAGACCTCCTTGTGGGGGATGCGCTAGTGCCTGGCTCCACCGTGCCAGCTGCCACGAAGAAGCTGCACGTCGGCGATGACGTCAACGCGGTGAATAACGTTGCGGCGAACGGTGCAGCCCCCAATGGGGGCCTGCACTCAACTGGAATGCAAAACGGAAATGTGCACTCCGACAACGGGGGGATCCATCACGACGAAGACCACACACAAGGGACGTTTGTCAACGCCTCCCCTAGGGATGAAAGCAAAATGGACAGCATGACAAACAAGATGGAAACGGGGGCGTATTCCGAACAAGGGGAATCCCCCCAAACGAGTGAAGATGGAGAAACTGACTGGTATGCGGAAGGACTCCAATACATAAAATTTTTTAAGGACATTGAAAAGAACAACTTGTTAAGGGAAACCTTCCCCGAACTGGATTATCATGAAAATGTGACCAACGTGCAGCTCTGCTTGTACCTCCTGCCGCTAAAAAATCACCACGTGCATGTAAAAAAGGGAGGAAAAACTGAACCGGTCGTCGATTTCATAATTAGGGAATCCCTAAAATTTCCACTCAAGTATGGAAAATTCTGTGTGCAAATATATGAAGGGTTTAGCAGCCTGTACAAGCTATACAAAAACATGGACGTTTTTAATTTTTTAAAAAATAGCACTTGTGATGGGAACAACACTGCACAAATTATTGGGGACGTTGCGTTGTTCCTCAAAAGTGTTGGAGAGAAATGGGACTTGCTGCTTTTAATTTTTTTTGTCTTCCACAAATATAAGGAGGTGAATAAAATGTTCGTGACCACCATCACCGCAGACGTGTACTTGTCCGACTTCGTCAAAAAGCTGTACCAGTATATTTTAAAAAATAAATTGCAGTCAGCTTATAACGTCAAGCCGTTTCTCAAGTGGCCGGACATTCGGCACAACTTCCCGCATCTCTCGCCCAACAGAATCGGCGAGGTGTACGAGCAAATTGTAAGGCAGACAGGCGCGCCGCGCCAGGGGGCAAAAAGGAGAGATAAAAAAAAAATATATATATATATATAATAAATAGGGGAAAAAGTTAAAACGGCGCTTGCGACGTGGCCCTGCGCGTGCGGAGAGGCATATACCAGTTGGCACGCACTGAGTGGCCCCATAAGAGCGTCGCTATACAACGTCAACAACGCGTCCACAAAAAAACATTGACTCGTGTTCGCCCCCTTCCCATCGCAGATTCGGTTTTCCTGCATCCACGGAGAGAACGAAGCCAAGTGTATCGAGTTTTTAAAAGACCACTTCAAGGAGTAGTCCAAGCAGTAGGCCAAAAAGTAGGCCAATTTTAGGTGGAGAGAACAAAGTATGCCCGAGGAAAAGGCAACCAAGAGAGAGACTGCTCAACATCGCGTTGTGTGCAAAGCGTAGCTAGCCATTTCCGTTCCCATAGCTATTTTTTTTTTTTTTTTTTTTCTCACCGCGTATGGTCAGGTTGTGCAGGCAAAATCGGAATATCTTTTTTTATTCGCTTCAACAATTTTTTCCTCCACTTCCTTCAATTTTTGCACATCCTGCGTGTGGAAATAAAGTGCGTATGGTGTGTAGAGTTCCTTTTCTTTGTTGTTCGTGGCCACTCTGCGCAAAACGTTTTGGCCAATTGGGATGAAGGAGAGGAACATGATGGGAAAAAAAAACGTACCTGATCGTTGATACTGAGAGATATGACCTTGTTGCATATTTCCACGAAATCCTCGTGCGTTTTTATGTTTTCAATGGAAAGGATCTCCACGCACAGTTTTGTCACCTCCTCCTGGGACAAGTAGATATAATTCTCTTCCATATCCATGACCCCCTGGATCATGTCGTGTTCTTCGAGTTCTTTGAGTTTTCTCCGTATGTTCTGCGAGTGGGGTGAGTGAATGGTATGTGTGAAGGGGAGTTCCTGTGGAGCAGGCGACAAATCTAGCTTCGTACAAATACAAAAGCTGGCAACTGCGTACACGTGTTGACTCCGCCCCAACCACACTGCCACACCGCGCTCACCTCCCGCTTCGTTTGAAACTTAACCGACAACTCAGTTATACTGACGATCTTCTTCAATTTTATAAAGTTCAAGAAACACCATAAGAGGACGTCGGATGAGAGCCAATCGTCTTTGTGCTCCTTCGATATCATCAGTGACTGCAAAGCGAGGGAAGGGGAGAAGGGGGGAGATAGACAATTGGGGGGGGCCACCTTTTGGAGTGCGCCATTTGTGGTGAGGCACCACTCACATGTGATCACGCAGACGAGAGTGGGAAAAGAACGACACACAGGAGAATGACCTCACGTTGGGACTGCTCTCCAGGATGTGACTCACCTTCCACTTTCTCAGCTTCTTCATTTCGCGGTTACTCATCTCGGTGGAAAACTGAAAGGGGAAAAAAAAGGCACCGGCACGAGTAAGCAAACATTGGAGTAAGCACATGCAAACCAACACATCTGCACACCGGGGAAAGCGTCGCTCCACCCAGTGCCCGCCTTACGTTGGACATGTCGAATGCCTCCTCGGGCCGTGTATCTTCAAATGCGCTTTCATCTTGAACGTCAGCCAAAGGCCCCTTCGCGTGCACTTTCCCCGTTGCGTCACCTCCAGTATGTTCCTTTCCACTTCTACATCCACTTAGGGTGTCTTTCAAATCAACTCGATCGTACTGCTCCTCGTCAATCGCTTCCTTAGAACTATCCACACACTTTACATGCACACAATTTTCTAAAATATTTTTCAGGCTGTTTTTCTTTTTGCTCATTTCGTGTAGCATTTGAAATTCGTCCTTTAACTTTTTCTGCAATTCGTTTATTTCCTCCTCCTTCATGTTCATTTGAAATTTATATTTCCCCTGGAAGTTTTTAAAATGCTGAGAGTTGCCCCTTTCGTCTGTTCCTTTTTCGTTTGTTCCTTTTTCGTTTGTGCCTTTTTCGTTTGTACCCCTTTCGCGTAGCCCCCCACTTACACCCCTCGTGCTGTCTTCCAACAACCCTGAGTCGTTTTTTCCACTCACAAAATACTCCCTCAATTTTTTAATCGGCTTTTGGCCTTCACTGACTGCATCACTTGCCTCGGATTCCCCCGTCTGCTGCGTTTCGCGCGAGGTGCCGACCCGGCTCTCCAGCAAAGTGTGATCTTTCGTTTTGTCCATATCACCTGACTTGTTAATGCAGGGGTAGTGATCGCTGTTCTGGGCTAATTCATCAGCCCCATTTGAGTGCGAAGCGATGTCGTTTATTTCATCTGCACCAGGTAACATAGTGGTGGAAAAATCTTGTTCCCTCTTCTCATCCAATTGACCATGTCGATTCGTGAGCGATGAGTTGTTGTGTATTTCATTTAAATGACCAACCGTGCTCATGCGGGACCCTCTCTCCCTTTCATCATTAAAACGGTCATCCTTCCCAGTGGAGAAGCTCTTCGAGTGGTCCACGTTCAAAAGGTCTAACCTCTCAACAAATGAACCCTTCTTCGTATTGCTTTCGCTCACATCGGTCAAATCACTAACAACGTAGGAAACCCCCTCAGAGCTGCTTTCATTTGTTTCAATTGTATTGTTAATACATGCCATGGTTGAGTCGTTTTCATTTGAGTCAGCTATCTTGTTGGCGATCTCGTCTTGCTCTGACTTCAAATCATGTGAGGTCTCCCTCGACCCGTTTTCACTTAAATGGATTGACCTCTCAAAACACGAGTCGTCCATCCTCGTGTTTATTTCGTTGGAAGCGTTTGACCTATTCATATGTGGGGGCGTCTTCCTTCCATTTTGTTTTACTAAATGGGCTGAAGTGTTGTCTAACAATTTCGTCGCACCGTCTGTGTCCAATTCGTTTGTGCTTTCTTCCTTCGAATCATTTGTTTCCTTTACCCCAGTGACTTCACCCTTGTTGTGTTCATTATAATCGTCTGACTTTTCTGCGTAGGACGTCTTCCCATTACCGTTTACAATTAAATCGCCTGACATGTCTGTGTAGGACGCCTCCCCATTACCGTTTACAATTAAATCACCTGAGTTGTTAATGCTCGATTCTTCCTTTAATTCGTTTTCGTTTGAGTTGTATACCCTGTTAGTATGCGAGCCCTTCCTTCCATTTTGCTCGCTCCAGTCATCTGGACTACCAATTGGGGCCGTTTTCCTTTGGCTCGTTTCATTCGAATCGCCAACACCATCAATAGGCTGGCTCTTCGAATGGTCCTCACTCAAACGGTCTAACTTATTAATAAATGAACCCTTCTTGGTGTTGCCTTTGTTTGACCCTACCGATATGCTAACGATGGATTCGTTTGTGTTGTCCTCAAAATTATCTACGTCGTTCATGTCGGACGTCTTCCTTGCAGTACTTTCATTCAACCCCCCTGTCCTGTTCATGATGTGAGTAGTCTTCCTACCTCCGCTCTCACTGGAAGGCATTACCATATCGGTGAAGACCTCCCTGTTTGACTTGTCTCCACTTATTCTACTCAAATTGGTTATACTCAACGATGGCTCTCCTTCTGTGCATAGTTCATTTGAGATGTCTTCATGCAACTGGCCTGAACTGTTGTCTCTTATCTTGTTCTCCCCATCTCCTGCTACTTTTTTGAAGTCCTTTCTATTTGAATCATCGGACTTGTTTACACATGATGAACCCCTATTTGATGTGCTAAGGCTCCATTTCTTCAAATCGTTTTCAATAGAATTACCTCCACTGGGTGACATTTGCACTGCCCTCTTTTCGGTTACATTTCCTGGCCATTCAACACTTAACCTCGTTGTGCTGTTTGTACGTTCTTCCATTTGGCTGCTCTCATGGGGGTAGCCTGCCTTATTAATATAGGAGTTTCCTTCTGCATCGTTTCCAGGGAGATAAGGAGCCCTGCTAATATTTAATTTATTTGAAGCTCTCACTTTGAATTTTCCTGAACCCTTTCCCATTAACTCTCCCGATCGGCTAAAGTACGAGTGGCTTTGTTCCTCCACAAATGAAGTCTTCCTCGTTTTACCTTCATCTAAATCACCTGATTCTCCAACGAGCGAAGGAGCACTTTCGTCGTGTTCCTTCAGCCCACCTGACCTACTGAACCACGATGTGCTTCCCTTTCTTTGGCCCACGTCACTTTTCCTGCTAATGTGTGAGTCCTTCCTCGATCTGCTTCCCCTCAGATCACCTGACCTGTTCATATAACATACTGATTTGTCCTTTGTGCGCATCTGCCCCCAAGCGTCCATGTATGACCCCGTCTTCGAACTGGTTTCACTCAGGCTGCCCGTCCTGTCGATATGAGAAGGCTTCCTCCTTCGGTTCCTCTCACTCGAGTCATCTGTACTACTAATTTGGGAAGTTGTTCTTTCGCTCCTTTCATTCGAATGATCAGCGCTGATCGTGTGGGACCCCTTTCTAGACTCCTCCACATATGAACCCTTTCTAGACCCCTCCTCATATGAACCCTTTCTAGACCCCTCCTCATATGAACCCTTTCTAGACCCCTCCACATATGAACCCTTTCTAGACCCCTCTTCATATGAACCCTTTCTAGACCCCTCTTCATATGAACCCTTTCTAGACCCCTCTTCATATGAACCCTTTCTAGACCCCTCCACATATGAACCATTTCTAGACCCCTCCGCATGAGACCCTCTCGTTCCCTCGAAGCCCACCGAACTGTCCACATACGAGACTCCTTCGGCGCAATGTTCACTCATCACGATACCTACCCCCAATTCATCTGCGTCGTTTTCCTTCCAGTCAGATGAACTGCCCATATGTGAGCCCTTCTTCATCTTTTTCACACTCGAATTTCCTGACCTGTTGTTAATGAAAAAATGAAATTCATTTCGCTCGTTCGTAGCGCTTTTCCTGTCCACGCGAGAATCCCTCTTTGACTTGTTTTCACTCAAATCGGCTGTCTTCCTAACGTATGATCCCCTTGTGGAATTTTTCTCACTGGTATCCCCTGAGGGGTCCGCATATGACCCTGTTGTTTTACTTGTGTCATTTTGAATAAAATCACCTGACCTGTCAGCAGAGACTTCCGTGGCGTTGTTTATGCGGAGTTGGTATGAATCGTTTTCGTGTGAGTAGGCTGTCCTGTTAATAAGTGATGTCTTCTTCGAACTGTTCTTCACGCTTCTTCCATAGGAGTAGTCCGGATCGATAATATATGAAGCCCTCCTTTCCTCGCTCCCATGTGCGTGCCCAGGCGTACCCACCCACATATCATTTCCCAAGTTTTCTTTCGTCCTGTCTGGGCTGGCAGCTCTAGACTCCTTTGCGCCGCTTGCATTAGAAATGACTTTGTAGTTCGTAAAGGATGGATCCGATTTTGTCTCATTTGAATCGCATGCCTGGTCAACGCTCAGGTTAATGCAGATATCTTCATGTACTTTTTCGGAGCTGCTTTCACTCACGTCGGCAGGTCTATTCATATGCCAAGTGTCCTTCGTCCCTTTTGTGTCTTTCGTGTCTTCCTCCATCAAATCGCCCGACTCGCACATATATGAGCCCGTTCTTGGCTCCTTTTCTTTCGAATCGATTGTCCTCTCAGTGAGTGAATCCCTCATTGAAATGCTTCCACCGGAATGGCCTTCTCCGCTAACAAGTGAACCCCTGTTTGTGTCTCGTTCACCGGAGTGGTCTTCTGCGCTAACAAGTGAACCCCTCTTTGAGTCTCCTTCACCTGAGCGGTTCTCCCTTTCAACATATGAGGAGCCCCTCTTTGACTCATTTCCACGCGAATCGTCTGGACCATTCATACGGGAAGTCTTCCTTCTGCTGTCTTCATTCAAGTCAGCTGCCCTGCTAACGAATGAGTTTTTTTCGGGCGCGTTTTCTGTCCACGCACCTACGCTGCTATCGTGCGAGTTTTTCTTTGCAGTGTCCCTATTGAACTGGCTTGCCCCGCTAATGGATGGAGTCTCTTTCACGTCGTTTTCCTTCAAATCTGCTGCCCCCCTAACGAGGGAACCCCTTTCTGAGCCTTTATCACTTAATTGCGCTGAACCTGGATTAGTCAATTCGTTCGAACCTCCACCCCCCGAGTCGCGCCCTTCATGTGCGTTGCTATCGGCTGATCCGCTCACGCAAAGGCTCTTCAAATTCGGTTCGTCCGTCACATCTCCAGCTGTCTCAGAATCATTCACCGACGCGATATCTTCTACCATTTCCATTTTTCCGTCCTCCAAATCATTCCCTTCATCTCTCACCTCTCCGGGAGCTCCCCCTTTTTGTGTTCCATGTAGGTAGCTATCGTTGTCTCCATGTGGAGTTCCTTCACGTTGTTCGCTCTGTTCCTTGTGCCTACCTTTTGCAGGCTGCTCACCTCCCCTACCGCTCTTCTCTCCTGCTTCGATGGCATGTCCAATGGGACCACTTTCGCTTGCTCCACTCTGCTCACTAGATGCATCTTCATTTGCGCTTTTGCTTTGGCTCACCTGATCCTGTTTATGTTGGTGACTTATTTTTGTCTCGAGCTCTTTCGTGCAATCAGTTGGATCTATCACTGGTTTGTCTGCGTTGTCCTGCACGTCTTCCTTTACCTCGTCCTGTGCATCGTCCTGTGCATCGTCCTTCACGTCATCCTCTGCGTCGTCCTCTGCGTCATCCTCTGCGTCGTCCCCTGCATCATCCTTTACGCCGTCTTCACTTTGGTGGGTATGTCCAGAATCAATAGATGCACTTTTATCTTTACATCTGACGACCGTGGGGTCTACATTTGTGGGTCTCCTCTCACTGCCACATTTTTCTTCACCCATTTCGTCCTCCTTCTGGTCATTCTCCCCTGGACCCACAGTTGGCGCCCTGTCACCCTGACTCGTAAATGCGCCTAAGCAACTTCCCTCCGGCTTGTCTACGTGAACAGCTTCTCCCTCCGACTTTGCATTTGTATAAACGGAAACGTCACTCGGTATTCCCGTGTAAGATTTGATCGAGTCGATCGGGTTGTCCTCGTTGTTTGCACGCACATCCACATCTGCGTCGTTACCGTTTGAGCTTTTCATTTTGTCTAGCTGATCATCACCCCTGTCTACATCGTTTTTCATTTTTTCGTTTTTCATTTTTTCGTTTTCATTTTTTAAGTTATAAACTTCTGCTTGTTCCTCTTTTCCTTTTTCTTTTGGAGGTTCCTTCTGAACTTTTTTTTTGCTCCTACGCATGAAGTTTTGTATTGCGCTAAAGAATGAGTTTTCCTTGCCTCTGCTGCTTGGTTGTTCTTCTTCTCCATCACGGTGCGCGTCGTCCCCTTGATCATTTTTCTCCTCTTCTTCATCCTCCTTTTGGGTTCCGTCTTTGCTACTCCTCTTCATCTCTACTGCATCTTTTCCGACACCCTCTGTGGCATCCTTCGCGTTTTTGCTGGGCGGGTCTACTTCTTTCAATTGGTCAGAGGGAGTCATTTCTTCTACCTGGTTCGGCGAACCTACTTCTTTGTCCTCTTTGGGTGTTTCTGCTCCTTTGACTTGGGTGGCTTCGCTTATCTCTTTGACTAAGTTATATTCTTCTGTTCCTTCGAGCTTTTTTGTCGCTTCCGTGCATCTAACCCCACTTTGGGAATCCGCTTCACCCACTGAGGCGGATGCACCATCTGCTACTTCGTTCACAGAACCCTCTTCTTCCGCTTCTTTCACAGAATACGCTTCACCCACTGAGGCGGATGCACCATCGTCTACTTCGTTCACAGAATCCGCTTCTCCCACTTTGCTAGCTTCTTCTAATTCTCTAACTTCACTTTTAGGACCCGCTTCCCCCAATTCGGTGGTCTCCCCCGCCGCGCAAATCGCGTCCTCGCCAATCGCTTCTGCGGAAGAACCCGCGTTGACCACTTGGCTATTTGGTTGTGGGTCACTTTGCACAGGAAGAGACTTCACATCTGTGACATGTCGGGCCTGTTCGTGGCCCCTAGGAGGGACTGAGTCACTTTTGACTTTGGTATCAATTAGCAGTGTGTCTCCGTCCAATGGATCCTTTTTCTCGCCATTCAAATGGGTTGGCTGGTTAAGGTGGGTGGATATGGCCCCCTCGTCAGGAGGACCGGGCGAATCTCCCCTCGAAGTGCCGAGCTGCTCTTCCTTGTCCGCCCCTCCCACTAAGCTGCTGCAACAGCTACTGCTACACGTAGAGCTACCTCTAGCATTATTTGTTAGGCAATTTTCCTGAGGCTGCTTTTCCACAACAGAATCGGTTGAGCGATTCGGTTGGAGGTTGTTCACTGAGTGTGTCGTTCTAGATGCAGGACTGTCTGCCTGAATGAACTTATGGAAGGCATTCAAGTGAAGACTCTCTTTGTGTAAAATTTTTTTTAATTCTTTTTCAATTTGACGCAACTCATCTTTTATGTTATCTAGGCCTTCGTTTAACTTTAAGTAAATTTTTATTTTTTTCTTTTCTGCTTTGACCGTCCTTTCATCATTGCTCATTTCGTGTGAGTCGTCAGCGCTGTCTTCATGGTTGTCTTCACTGCTCCCTTCACCGCTCCCATCAGCGCTGTCTTCATCACGACAACTGGCTACTCCCCGTTGAGCTCTCGATTCTCTTTTGCATGGACTCCCCTTGGAACGTTGCCTAACCTTCCTGTAATAAAAAAAAAAAAAAACAGATGTAAAATGGAAGGATCACTTGTGAGAGACTCTCCGATTGTATGCACATGTGCACGTGTGTGGTGAGTCATACACTACTCTCTCTTGTGATAAACTTCAGCAGGGAAACGAAATATATCTCTCCTCACGTGTTGTGGCACGTGCCGAGTGCTGTGTCTGGCCTCCGCGTAACTCCGTCATTACCAAATAGCGTAGGTACAAAGGACGACAAAAAGGAAGACATTTATTACAATTGTAAGGGGGGTGCTCACATGTGGACACATCCTCCCCTTAAGGAACCTCCACAGCTTCAGTGATTTCCGCATGAGGAGGGGGGAAGCGGACACGACACTACACAGACGAAGCGGACCAATGCGGGTGACCCACTTTTACCCTTTATGAGTCTGCAGAAATGTTCGTAGAGGGGGGGGAGGGACCCTTCATCACTATGGCGACTCTGTCCCCCACACCCCAAACGTTGTACATCCTAGCAGGTTGCCCACAGCCACGAATTAGCGAATCTGAGTGGCTACACCCACACCAGGAGCTTCTTCATTCGATGATGCTACAGTAGAAACGTATTCAACAGGATGGGGAAAAAAAAAAAAAAAAAAAAAAAAAAGACCGGAGTGGAGAGGACTTTGTCAACTCCGGAAAAATCATCATACCAATAAAAGCACAATTAAAACTTTGAATACATTGATTGGATAATCCAAAAAAAAAAAAAAAAAAAAAAAAAAAAAAAAAAAAAGAAAAGAAATAAAAAGTGCCACAACCCCACCCATTACATAGACCTTTCTTCTAAAATGGGACATAAGACACATTCGACTTTTTTTTTTTTTTTTTTTATTTTTTTTTTTGTCCTCCACAAAAAA